CCGCTCGCTGAGAAGTGTCATGTCTAGAGGCAGCCCGTTTGGGCGCTTTCCCCTGAGGCTGGGCATGAGAGAACCAACAGCGGTTCCGAGGGGAGCACGATGCTCGACGCGCGGGGAGACGTTTCCACGTTGACGAAGGGAAAGTGTTACAGCGGGTGTACCTTCTCCCGATGACCCCCGACGGAAAGAAGCTGGTAGGTGCCTACGGTAGGTACCTACCTACCCTACCTTACCTTACCTTAGGTACCTAATTGCTAGGTAGGTAAGGTAGGTAGTGAAAGGAGAGGCAGGACGTAGTGGGGCCCAGCACCACCCATGAGCCTGGCCTGGTGCTTCCTCATGCTGGGACCATTGTCCCCTGCCTCGAATCTTCACAACTCCATCCATTAACCTAACCGACGATCATGTGATACCTCATTGATGAGACGCTGCAAAACCAGATGATCGAGCACACGACAAAAAAAAATTTGAGCCGACGCATCCGACATGACTTGCTATCAAACGCGTGGACAAGCCGAATGACAATTACCCGCTAGACTCTGCCAACTCATAGGATCACCCACCACCCCGATCACCATGCCTCGCAGACTCCTGGTTGTGGTCCAATCCTTCACTTAGTCCATCATTGATACGAAGCCAGAATGCTTGGAAAGCCTCGTCGTCACCTGTCAGAAACTTGACAAGGAGATCAATGCGACGCGCAACGATTGGCAGCATGGGCAGTGCGACCTATCCCAACCCTGGGAAACCCCTCTTGCCTCTACCAGGGACGCATCGCCAGCCTCATCCCGACGATTGGAGCCCGAAGGTAGCACACCAGCCAACGACCACCCACCCAGTCGGCATCCCGTTGCTGTCTCCTCGATGCAGCATCACAGCCGGATGAACCCCAACACCTCCCTCAGCCGGTGCGATGCTGCCGCGCCGACTACTCATCAACCCTGAAGGACAGGACCCTTGGGAAGCCACCGAAACCATCTGCGGGCGACCTACTACCATTGGCATCGAGCCTGCAGCGGCCCAACCACCCAGCGTCGTCGCTGCCCTCACGTCGCCCTCACCTCGCATCGGCTCGAACGCTCCGCATTGTCAGCGAACGACGTGGTGCAGCCGCTCCTGCAGACTTCATGTGCGTCTGGCCAGTCAACTGTCGAGAGTGTCGTGATAGGAAGCATAGCTTTCCGCTTCCCCGGAGGCGCATGCTCGATGCTCGGTGCCCCAAGCGGAAAGTCGAGCTGTGTCGTGATGCCGTCCCGTCGTGTGAGCGAGACAGACGATGCAGTGAAGCCCACGCTCGCTCATCACGTATATATCGCGCAATTTCGTGCTGGCAGTACACCGGGTGGCACTCTATTCATTTCTCCTTCTTGTATTGATACTGTTCTTGAAGCTGGTCTTTTTCGAGTCACTGCTATTTTTCCATGCTGATACCCCCCCATAACTGCCCTCCCCACTCGCTGCGTCTCGTATTGATGCCCAACCCTCGACGCAGCTACATCGCATGTATATCCCACTTCAAGCCCGCCGCGAGCCACACCTCCTGGCCCGCGATGCGGGATCATGGGCTTCACCAGCCCCGGGCCCGTGGGCAGCACTGATGCAGCATCTCGCAACTGTTCCGGAAACTCTCAAGCGCAGACAGGTCTCCATCTCGGCGAACAACGACAACACGAACAGGACAGTGGGCATCGTGCTAGGCGTGCTCCTCGGAGTTTTCGTCATCGGCGTCTGCGTCTTCCTCTACGTCTATCGAGACGCCCTGCGGAAAGCTCGCCATCGCCGCCGCCGTCGCCGCCGTCACCATCGACGACCGGGCTCCAAAAGCTCCAAGTCATCCTCCGAAGGGGCGCCGCCGCCGCCTCCTCCTGCACCTCCTGCCGATGCTGCTCCTGCTCCTGCTGCCGCTTGATGCAGGATAAAGCTTGTAAAATGAGGTCAGTTTCATGGCATCAACACACTTTAGCCATTTGCTGACATGCCCAGAGCAAAGTGTTTTACTGTACGTCTAGTGTTGTGAAGTTTGGGTTGTCCTAGCGATCAATGTTGCCATACCGTGCCAGTCTCTTCTGCTTTTCGTTTGCCAGTCATGTTTTCTTTTGAGGGAAGGGCTTACACGTGCGAGTCATCGCCGCAAGGATACTTGGCCAGTCTCAGCTATTGTATTATTTCCTCCAAAATTGACACCAATTCGGCATTTTCCCTGGCTCAAGACTGCGGAAGTTGTCATATTCAGCATGGTGTGTGTCATCCATGGTTTGCTGGACAGGCAAACAAGTAGCGCCAGATCTTCCCGTGCCACAACCTAGATCCAACCCGTTGGTCCAGGGTCTCACCTGGTGGCTACACATTCGAACATCTGAGGCACGCCTGGCACCAGCGGCGCCTGCTGTGAAAACAATGCTCGCGATTCTGACCGTTTGCCCAGGGCAACACTGGACTGACTGGTGCTTCAATGTCCGTCCGCACTATCTGTCAAGCACTTGTCTCCAGTATTGTCCTGCGTGTCAATCTAGACTGCTTCCCTTGCACCTAGGTCGAAAGAAAGATAGAAAGAATCACCATAAAGTCCATGCTGCTAGAGATGCAGATTTCAAAACATGTCCCAAGCAGAGCGCGCACTCGAACTAACAGACGACACGCCATGCACGTCTAGCATCATCACAGCC